CCAGGGTTGGAACCAGGGTTAGAGCCAGAGTTGGAACCAGAATTGGAATCTGTGTTGGAACCTGCGTTGGAACCTGTGTTGGAACCTGTGTTGGAGCCAGAGTTAGAGCCAGAGTTGGAGCCAGAGTTGGAACCAGGGTTGGAACCAGAATTGGAGCCAGGGTTGGAACCAGGGTTAGAGCCAGGGTTGGAGCCAGGGTTGGAGCCAGGGTTGGAACCAGAGTTAGAACCAGAGTTAGAACCAGAGTTAGAGCCAGGGTTAGAACCAGAGTTAGAGCCAGAGTTGGAGCCAGAGTTGGAACCAGAGTTAGAGCCAGAGTTAGAGCCAGAGTTAGAACCAGAGTTAGAACCAGAGTTAGAACCAGAGTTGGAACCAGGGTTAGAGCCAGAGTTGGAACCAGAATTGGAATCTGTGTTGGAACCTGCGTTGGAACCTGTGTTGGAACCTGCGTTGGAACCTGTGTTGGAACCTGTGTTGGAACCTGCGTTGGAACCTGTGTTGGAACCTGTGTTGGAGCCAGAGTTAGAGCCAGAGTTGGAACCAGAATTGGAGCCAGAGTTGGAGCCAGAGTTGGAACCAGAATTGGAGCCAGAGTTGGGACCTGCGTTGGAACCTGTGTTAGAACCATCACCTCCGTTATTACTATTACCGGAGTTAGAACCTTCATCAGAGTTGTTGTTATCAGAGTCCCCCGTTGATTGTGTAGGTCCGGATTCAGTTACCGTAGTCTTTGTGGAACCTTCGCCATTACCAGAGTTCAAATTATCAGTAGTTTTGGTGACCCCAGACGCAGTTACTGGAGTCTTTGTAGATTCGGTATTTCCGTTTGTTTCGGATGCAGATGACGAAGAGTTTTCAGGAACGTCTACAGTAGTAGATAGTGCATTGGTAGCTGAATTTTGTGTTTCTACAGAAGATGGGACTGTAGTAGGTGAGCTTTCATAACCTCCTTCATTCATATCACTGAACGTGTTTGGTCCTGAATTATTGTCATCAGATACTATAGAATTATATTCTGACGAACTGTGTTGACCAGTGTGTATTCCAGTGTTGGTAGGAGTAATAAATGAGCTTGTAATCGTTTCGGAAGGTTTAATGAAACTAACATAGGTACTGGATGGCCCAATCAAACTTGAAGAAATGTCTTCAGATGCATAGGTCGATTCGGTCTTGATTTTCGTTTCAGTTATGAATATAGTGTCCGTCCTGGTAGTCATTTCTGTTGCGGTTTTGGTCTTGGTAATTGTTTTAGTAGTACTATCTAGTGTAGTAGTTGTTTCTGTTTTTATTCCCTTTTGGGTTTCAGTTACTAATAAAGTTTCAGTTGTATTCTTTGCTACACTGGATGATAGAGTTTCCGTTTTTGTGATTGTTACGGCACTAGCATTGACGGTCTCTGTAATAGTAATAGGATTGACAGTCTGTATAATTGTTTGGGTTTCAGTTAAAGTTTGACCATCAGCAGAGATAGTTATGGAATTTGTTTTTGTATTAGTGACCAACTCAGTTATAGTATTCTCACTATCAGGTAAAGTTTCTGTTTGAGTAAATAAGTTTGTAACAGTTATGGTATCGGTATTCATATCAGCAGTAACAGTTTCAGTGGTGGTAATTGGTTCATCTGTTCCGAACACAGCTGATGTGGTTGTAACAGTTGTCATGTTACCAAAAAAGGTCAAGGTTTCCAAACCAATGGTTTGAAGATCAGTAATGGTCTGAGAATCTGTAATTGTTTGGTAAGCAGTCCGAGTTTCGGTAACCGTCACCTTATCTAATAAAAGTTCCCCGATACCACTGGATAAACTGATAGGATTTACCCTTTCATCATAATGACAAAGTATAACTTTACCAGTTCCTGGGCAAGTTCTCTTACAGCAACCAACTTTGGTACTTGGTTTCCAAAGCATCTGCAAAAAGTTAGCATTAGTTTGTTTAAGTTCTGGATTGCTGTAATCGTAATGGAAAAATTCAGAATACCATTCGTCGATAGCGTCAGCAATCTCAAAACCGACACTGATAGTACTACCGAATAGTTTATTAGGGACCACGTTAATATTTTCACAGTCTAGATTACGCATGATACTTTCACATTTTTCGGATAATGAATTGGAATATACCACTGGTAAAGTCTTACTATGACGAGCTCTTTTGGCATTCATTGTTTTTGTTAAAAGAACAGCATCAGCATTGGCGATTTCATATTTTTCAGCAGCAACGCTTCTAATGGTTGCTAAATTAATAACAGCAGCAATTGATGCCACAGTAAAAAATTTCATTATTGATATTTAAACTATTAGACAATTATTGCTTTTATAAATACTTTATTGGTATAGTTTAAAGATTAATGAATGAAGAGAATTATATGAGAAATGACATTTTTTGGATTATCATATTTTTCAAATTGTTGATGCTTTTATAGAAAAGAATCCAAGAAAAAATAATCATATATGAATGTTTCTATTTTGATTATTTTTTGTAACAATGAATATATTGTTGATAGTTTTGCATATTGAGAATCTATAGCTACCATCTTTGAAAAAATAGTATCGTTATTGGTAATATATATTGAGTGCGGGGTACATTAAAAAAAAACAATGAAAATAAAAGTAATTAGTAACAGGGGTTCATCACGATGATTCCAATTCAGCGGTTATAAAATGGGATAATTATTTGTTAGAAAGTTTGATATGTTACTTCGTTTGGTAATGTTGACATTTCAATTGAAATATTATACTTCCATAATTATATATCAAAAAAAAAGAAACCGCTTGGCGCAAATCGTTTTTCGTAGTAAGATTCGGTTGTTCTGCCTACATTTCTGCGCACATTTCTGCGCACATTTCTGCGTACAAGGAAAATTAAAAAATTTATTGGAAAATAATTGAGTGAGGAGAAAAGTATTGTTCTGAGCAAAGCATTTTTGAAAGTTGAAAAGAATACAAATAATATCAATGATGACGTTTTATATGGGATATTGTCTGATTTTTTTCCTGACATAGTCAATAATGTTTTCTTAAATTCATTGTATTCAATAAAGTAAATAAATAAATCAATTGCTGTTTTTGTAGTAGTATCTTTGAGATAATATTCTATTATAACTAATTGTTACTGTTATTATTTTTGCTTTTTTCATTTTAAGTGCAGTATAATTTTTAACCTGTAATAATATGTACCATTTGAGTCCAACTTAATATTATCGCATAATGACGTCTAACCCCGCAATGCTATGGGATGGCTCTTGGTGTTTGATTTTAGAATTACAATATAATTCTTCTCCAGAAATTTTAATTTAGTCTTTCTTGTTTAGATTAACATTCATATTCAAACTCATATCAGTAATACCAGCTCTCGGGATCTGGTGATATAATCCCGTAAATGTATCGAAATAATTTCTATTCTCGACTGATAATTAAATTTCATTATATTGTGTGAGCTGTGATAATACGTTTACGGTAATGTGTGACCCATCTTCATTACAGTGGGTTTTTTTCAGTTCAGCTACCTGTATTCCAGATTTTTTTTTTAATTGAGGTATTTGCATGATGAACACAGTAAGTTAAGTTAATCCGAGGATTTCATTTTTAGTTTTGTTTTCTAGGTTAGTGTTTTATAATTATCGTATGAAATGTAAATTTAAACATGATGAATAGTAGTATGGCTATAAAATGGATAACTTATTTCGGTTAAAATAATTCTCTTTCATAATTTACGTTGCATTTTACGGTATTTACTTTCGATAAGAAATAACCATTTTTTGCTGTAATATACTCCTACTAGTGAAAAGGAGCGTTTAGTACTTTTTCATATATTATCCCTATGACATATATGACTAGTAATGTTGCCTTTGACAAATCAGATAGGGGGTAAAGTATACCTGCTCTTTTCTTTTTTTAATTTTTTTTTCTTAGTCTATTGTTAAATTTAAAATCTATTGTGTCAATAGAAATATTCTATTTTGTCAATTTAAATATCCTATTGCTTGAGTAAACAACTAATTCGAAAGGATTTCATTATCCGAAAAACCGATTTAATTTTTATCAAAGTAATTTTCTTTCATACTCTGGTTTGAAAACTTAGTTCTGGAGCTCTATCTTTATTTTAACAGTGTAGACCACATATCATGCATAGTTTTGCATAGTTCTTTTACGACAACACTACTAAGAATGCATAAAATTTAAATCAATATTATAGATGAAAAATATAAGAGGTACCATTAAATAACAATTCATTCGTCATCATTAAGAGCGGCAAAAGTAAACATTTAGCTTATTTGAAACCAATAAAAAAAGAATAAAAAGCGTAAAAATCATAAAGTTTTAGATTTGTTTAATACTCAAAGGGGGTTAAATGTTTGGATAATTGCAAGGACGAGTTCAAAAGAGAAGAATTTCTTAATCTTTTATTAGTTGCTAACGTAATTTAGTTTTACTACTTTTTATTGTAAATCTGAAAATTTAAAAGAGAAACTCTAAAGTATGGTTAAAAACAGTGTTGTCAACCCGCTAGTTGAGAGAGAGGCATGGGTCTATTTTAAAAATTCTTTGTTTTCCATTCGGATTGTTTAAAATGTAATTTTGATCCCTAGTATTCTCAGATTTTTATAAACTGAAAGTAGAGAGATTGAAAAGTTAGATATTTTCCAATATCGTATTCTTCAGTATCGATTTTTTGTCTCATTATATACGCTATGCGTTATTTTTGCTCCTCTGTCCTCTATTGATACTAGGTGTGATGAATGCTATCCCATATGTTCTAGTATTACGTCAAGCAATTCGAAGCAACATGGCTATTGACTTAAGATCAAGAAATTTCATTTTATTATATCCATTAAAAATTTGAAAAGGTATGATGATACCTCCTCTTTCTCTTAAGTGTTGCTATGTTTTGCAGTTTACTTAACACCGTCCGTTTTGGTGATATTCCATGTGTTACTAATTAAACATCTCTTTCTAAATCTTATTTTATCACTTGTTTATGTGGTAATAAGAGCAATTAGAAGGAACAAATGATGCATATCACTCAGAATATATTCCTATATTTTTCTTTGTTCTGTTGTGTTTTTGTTTTAAAAATATTTAACGATAAATCAAAAGCCGAAGAATTAGTAGTATTTTCGGCCCTAGCTTCGTGAAGATTTTGGTTGTTAGTAGAAGACATTTTAGTTTGGGTGAGATAGTTGTTTTATTATATATGAAGTATATATAAAGGTGATATAAATATTCTAAAGGGTATAATATTATTATTCTTAATTTTGTCCCAAAAAGTTTCCTTTTTATACCTTTGGTTTCTGTTGATGACAAGTGATCATTTTATAACTCTCTCTGACATTATGTTTTCGCTTACTCTGGATGTTTTATGTCCATTTGAATCCCTTGTAATGTTATCAGAACTTCACTATAGTAAAGTTCAGGATAATTCCTCTTATTTTATAATTCTAATTGATTCGTTATATTCTTCACTGAGGTTTTGTACAACCAAGAGAGTTATTGTTGTTTCATGTTTACCTCCGGGAAGTATGTTTATTATTGATAGTGTCAGCTCACTCGTACCTTTGTTCATCTTTCTGTAATTTAGTTATTTAACTTCTTCTCTCTGTTAATTCCGTTACTTGCCCATTCTATAGTTCATGTTATCATCGCCTTTGGCGGGGTCTGTCATTTACCGTTAACAACGGCCGTTTCTATATTCCAGCAAAATATGTATTCATTTTCCATTTTGGATTCGCCATGAACGCGTTACTCAAATAGTAAAACCTCTGCGCTTGCATAGTATATTGAAACTATATTTACTAGAATTAATATGAAGAATACCAACATTATACATAAAACTTGAAAATTTTACTAAATACTTACTTTTTTTCTAAAAAGTCACTTATAATATGATAATTAAGTAATTTATTGACTTCAGGAAAGAGTGATAACAAATTAATTTGAAGATATTCCAGTATGACCTAACCCCTATTTAGCAAATAGATTAATTTTAAAATACTATATATAAGATAATCTCTTTTTATCATTATCAAGAAGATAATGGATCATGCTTTAGGTCTGTTAAACTGAATATCTTTGAAAAAAATCACAATTGTTCAGTCTTAAACTTATGCGCAAACCAGTTTGAAGTTAACGTATATAATTAACAAGATATATTGATGGCCAATGGTTGTGCCATAAAAAGGGTCTTTTGAAACTTAATTTTGAAACATTCCTTCTAAGAATAATGTGTCAATACTAGCTTCCTACGGTAAACCATTTTCTTTAAAAAAAATAAAAAATTAAAATTATAAATGTCATTAAGAATAAATAAAAATATTAAAAGTATAATTTGACATCTTGAATGTCAAATTATGGTCGTGTATATACTATGCAATTGAGGGGTAGGAATTGGAATAAAAAGTAATGTCGTAAAGGTGATAGTGATAAAGAATGAAGGACGATATAATGCTATCCATATTTGTATTAAAACACCTTACCCAGATATTTTTCGTAGAACCATTCCCAGTTTTTACCGTTTTGTTTGATTCTTTCTGCTTTTTCTGCATCTTGAATCTTACCATCTTCTTCTTCTTGATCGATAGCCGCTTTGTATGTATATAAATCGGCTTCTTCTGGTTTGACGAATTTTGTCTTATGATAAAATTTGTACCCGAAGAAACAGATAAAAAATACGGGTAGACCAATGTAACCAGTAATAAAAGTTTTATAATCAAATTCGTGACCTAAGAAAACAGTGAAATTTTTGATTAAGGCCAGTAAACAACAGAAGAACAAAGCAAACCAAGCACCATATGGTTGGAATGGAGCTACATAAGCAAAGGTAGATCTATCAATACCTTGAGCTCTAACTGCTCTATCAAAACAGATGAAAGTGATTAGAATACAGATCCAACTTAAAACACCAAATATAGAGACAACATTGACGAAATAGTTGAATACCTTTGCAGAACCAGAAGAGACACTCATGTATGCCAGTAAACAGAACAGAACACTAACCCCTAGAGAGTAATATGGAATACCCCATCTATTAGTAGTAGCTAAGAATTTTGGTGCCTTGTTATCAATGGCTAAGGAGTAAAGAGATCTGGATGCAACATATAAATCAGAGTTGCAAGCACTGAAGACAAACATTAAGACACATGCGTTGAAAATATGTGGTAGAACGTTAATACCAGAATTTTGAATAGCGACAACAAATGGCGAAGCAGCAGCACTGGTACTTGCACCTTTAGCACTAATCAATTTTGGATCATTAGACGCAACACACATACCAAGTAAGAAGATAGAGATAACATAAAATATGATCAGACGGTACATGGTTAATTTAACAGCCTTTGGAATATTCTTTCTTGGATTTTCGGCTTCTGCTGCAACAATACCAGTTAGTTCAATACCTAAGTAACAGAATAAAGCATAAACGAAACATGCTGAGAATGAAACAAATCTACCAGTGTCTCCTTGGATAGCATCTGAATATTCTTTGAAAGCACCTGGATTTTTCCAATAACGGAAACCTAATCTATCATGAGTTGGACCACCACCTAACATGATGACAAACATTAAGATAATTAAACCTAACATAACAAGTACTTTGAAACTTGATAACCAAAATTCAAATTCACCGAAGAATTTAACACCAAATGAATTAATAATAATGATTATGACTAAAAAAATAGTAATCCAAACACCAGGGTTAACAGTGTCTCTATCAACCCAATATTGCATTACTAAAGCAGCTGCAGTCAATTGATTTGGTGGTAAAATGAAATATTTGAATAAATATGAGTAACCAACAGCAAACCCAAGTGCAGGGTCACAATATCTAGAGGCATAACTGGTAAAACCATCCAATGGAATATATGAAGCCATTTCACCAAGACATGACATAACAAAAAATACTAATACACCAACAAATGAATATGAAATTAGCATTGAGACTGGGCCTGCAGTCGCTAAAGATGTACCTGTACCGATTAAAAGACCTGTACCAAGACTACCACCTAAAGCAATCATTGAAGTATGTCTAGCTTTTAAATCTCTCTTTAATCTAGTACCTTCAGTTTTACCATCAAAAGCTTTAAAATTTTCTTCATCTGAAATACTAATACTATTTGCTTCTAAATCACTATTTGAATCTAATACTTCTTCCTTAACGGGATTTTTAATTTTAGATTTATCTATGGTATAAATATTTGTTAGGTCAGATCCTAAATCTTCACTCATCTCTCTGACAGCCATATTTAATTAATTTAAAGAGTGAATGTAATAATTGTTTTTTGTTTTTGATTGTTTTGTTTGTATTTAATGAATGGTGATATTGTTATCAAGAAACTTGAATAACTTTGTGTCTTTTATTTTTTATTAAATTCAAGAATATTAAAAAAAATAAAAATAAAAGAATGTTAATTACGTTACAATTCTTCTCGTTTTGAGTAATTATTAAAAACTTCATCCTTTATATATTTCCCATTGAAAGAATTAAAACTACAATTTTTAAAGAGAGACAAACATAATAATGATGATGACTTATGCATTATTTGCTTACTACTACGACTATGTCGCTATTAATTTCCGATTGAGTATGTGTAATAATTATTGCAACAAAAAAAGAGAGAGTAATTATCAAGTAGTTTGATTGTTTTTAATCTCTTAGATAATTACGCAATATTATCAATCTCACCAATTAAAAAAAAAAGGATATAACCAGATATTGCGAAAGATAATCGATAAAAGGGATAATAATAAGATGGTAAATAGATTAGGTCACACACGTATACGTATATGATGAATTCTTATGGTAAATCTGATCCCTCAAGAAGATGAATAGAAAGACTATCAATCAATTAAGAAAATGTAAAATGATTAGAATTGATACGGCGGAGTGGAGCATATTTCATGAGATTGTTTCTTGTTATTGATAGAAAAGGGGTCATGAATTTAATGGGAATTCATCCATCTTCTAATTTGTTTTATTTACATCTCATCCTCAATAGCATCACACACACCCGCAAAAAAAATCCAAAAAAAAAAAGAACTATCACATCAAATAATACGTAAGTAATCCCATGTAGAGGAAAAATAGATTAAATCTTGAATAAAAATCTTGATAAATTAAACAAAATAATAAGAAAAAAAAAGGATCAGATGGAATAAATGTGACACTTAGAATAAAAGAAAAAAGATTAACTTATCACCTTTGTTTGCTTGTTATCTTAATGACCCTAATAATAACAGGAAATTTTAGAAGAGCTTCTCACTCTCTCTTCTATTTACTTTGCTTGAAGTTGAAATTTTGGAGCGGTAGTGTAAATCCGATTGTTAATAACAAACATTTGTTTACCTTTTTAAATTTTTATCTCTTTAATATTGGGTGAAAATATATCTGTATAAAACTAATTAATCAGAGAAAATACTGTAGCTCATAACATTTTAATTTCCTTGGTAATGGATAATAAATAAGAAGAACACTTTAAGGATTCATTCTGCTCGCTGTGCATAAATCTGGCTGTAGGTAAAAAAAAATAAAGTGAAAAAATTAGGAGGGGCTGGATTGGGTTTTAGTCTAATGGTGGGGCTGTCCTTACTCTCTTTTCAATAAAATATTGCTCTCGTTAAACGGTGGTCGGTAAATAACGGTAAAAGAAGGAAGAGAGAGAAAAAACTGTCGTGCGGCTCCAAAAATTGAAAATTGAAAAAAATAATGCCTTACTTGCCTAAGAAGGTATTACCTCCGTGCGTCGTTGTCTGTGTGGCTGACCTCCGAGTTGCTACGGCATCGTTTTTTGGGGTGTTTTCTCTTTCTCTCTCTCTCTCTCTCTCTTGAACGGCAGGGACGTATCTTTTACAATAATTTGTTCTTTCACATAGTACACCTGTAGTCAAATTCATAATGTAATTTTGTTGACAGTATTCTTTCGTGTCTGTTTTTATGAAATATTCATCCCTCATAATAAATAACAGAGAATAAATTTGGAGGGGAAGTAAGCCTCTGCTGAAAATTAGTGGAATAAATAACCAATTCGCAGATGGGGGGATGCACTCAATACAAATTAATATAACGAGATATCTTTTTTTAATTTTGTTTCTCGTTTGCAACTGTAATATCCAGCAGATCGTTTCCTTTATGGATTTTTGTTATTGTTATTGTTATTCAGCCGTTCACCCGATTATTATTAGTTTTTTCTCTTGCCTGATAATACTATCAGAGAAGTAAACACAAGGACGAAAGGATGCATGACCTCCTCCGTTCCTCCGAGAATTCGGCCTGACACTTTTACTTCCGAAGTTTTTCTCAGTAAAAGATGAATTTGCGAAGTCTCGGAAAACAGGCTGCGAGTTTAACTTTTGCTAGTCTTTTTGCCATTCAGATTCTTTAACAATTTTCATTTTGGTTTGGTTTTTATCTCAGAAAATCATTTAATACGTCATCGACATAATTAATTTTAGGGAAAAATGTGACGTCAATTTTGAATTTTGAGTAAGTTTCGACAACAACGAATATGACGTCTTATTCTTTCTAAGAATATAACTCCAAGAAAAAAAGGAGGAGAGTAAATTCGGACTTTCAAAATAGATAAATTAAATTAAATATGTTCCCCCCCCTTAAAAGATCAGAAGCTAAGATGAAGTTTGAGAGGGTAAGACAATAGTTTATCACAATTGTGAACAAAATGTGTTCAAAATTAATTTTGCTAAATATTATTAGCGTTATACCGATAAACATAATTTAATGATCTTGTTTCCATTTATTGGTAAATTTTATTTCCAGTGGGAAATGTCACTTATTTGAAATCTATTAAGAATAACGAAAATAAAAAATGTGTGTATTTTTCTTGATAGAAAGGACCTTTGCAATATTTCCATTATCATTTAATTTCGTGATGAGTAAGTGAGGATGATAGTGATGACTTACTTTTTGACTTTTTAAAGGGTTCACACTAATCTACCCTTATCATCTGGAGAGGAAACAGTAATATTGTGTGTAATAATCGCTGATGTTCATTTCTCCAATTTTTAAAAAAATTGTGATATGGATAGTCATATATTAAATGTTTCTTATCGTTACTCTTGAATGACTCAGTGATTATAAAACAAATGTATTGATGGATATTATCATTTAGAAGGAGAATATTTTATTTTATTTTATTGAGAAGTTTTATAGTTCTCTTTTTATACAAAGTTGTGTTCCATAAAAGTAATGTTTTCCTTTTTTTCTAGATTGTGAAGTTCTTAATAATTTAATTCTTTGTGGGTTATATGTTAATGATGATTCTTTCTCTTATCTTTAACAAATCAGTGTTAATCGATTCTTATCAAAATTCTTCCTCTTTTTGTAATAAAGTCATTTATTATCACTATTGAATTTTTGTTTATTCATTTCAGTCAATTCGGTATTAAATATAGCTACGCCAACTAAATAAAAAAAAAATTAAAATCTATAAGATCGCTATACCGGATCAATGAAGACAATCATTTAATTTTGTCTATTTAAAAACTACTATACAATACATCTATATATAAATATAAATATAGATTTTATCTATGAGAAGTGAATACCAACTTGATGAAATGCATATAATAATTTTAAAAAATCATTTTGATCACATTTACCTGCTCTCTTATCATTTAATTCAGTTTCTCTTAATACAGTTTCAATCTTATTTTTAACAACATCCGTTAATGAAACACTTTCATCGTTAACCATTTGATTATTCATCGCTAAATAAGTCTTATAATTTTTTTCAAGAATTTGTAAAACTGTTGATGATTTAAAACCTGCAGAAATTGTACGATTTTTTCTAACAAATACAATACGTAATAAACCATCCCATTCATTAAAATCAACTTGTGGTCTTGGATTTTTAATTTCAATTCGCACAACACTTGATTCAACTTGTGGTGGTGGTCTAAAATTATTTCTACCAACTTTCATTATATGTGTAACGTTTGCCCACATTTGAACATTTGCTGATAATCTACAATATAATGAATCACCTGGTCTTGCTAATAATCTTAAAGCAAATTCTCTTTGAAACATTAAAATTGATACTCTTGGTGAATTTGGTTGATTAATTAATTTAAATACTAATGGCGATGAAATTTGATATGGGGTATTACTTATACAAATATCAAAATATGGTAAATCAGTTTTCATAAAATCACCAAGTAAAATTTCTAATTTTTTTTCACCAGGTGTACCGTGAACTCTTTTAGTTAATTCTGCTGCCATTCTTGGATCCATTTCAACTGCAACAACTTTTCTTGCTTGTTCTAAAATTCTAACTGTTAAATTACCTGTACCTGGACCAACTTCTAACACAATATCGGAAGGTTTGATATTTGCTTTATCAACAATACCTTGTGCAACTAATGGATTCTTCAAAATATGTTGACCTAAATCAGTATTAAATTTGAAAACTGAACTTAAATGTTTTTCAGCTGCTACTTGCTTAGCCGATGTTGGCGCGGTAGAATATTTCTTCTTAGCTGCTTTTGCCATCCTGTTACTATATTATTTTGGTCACACTCTGCTTACTCAACTTCTCAAGTACCTTGTTCTAACTTTGAACTTTGTCTGACTTTTTTTTTGAAGGTAATTTCTCGATCGTTTCTTCTTAGTATAAGATCATGTAAAATTGCATGTATTCTTCTTTTTTTTTTTTTTTTGCGATGAGGTGCATCGCAAACCTTAAAGGTGAAAAAAAAATTTATTTATCTCACTTTAATCGTCTTGAGCGTCGTGAAACACGATAACAAGTAAAACATTAACAGTCCAACTCATCCAGGTTTTAAATTATATTCATGAGTCTTATTGATAATGAATTTAAAGTCATATGCAGTTTTATAAATGATATATAATTTCATTCTATCTCTGATTGGGAGATTTCTGAATATATAAAGAGTGTAGAGAAGATATAACGTTCTCCATCAATGCTGTACAATGGTAAATGACGATAACCACGTTTTAAATAATCAATCTTAATGGTACAGGAAGCTAACATGGTTTCACCTGTCTTTACAATAATATGGATAAAGCTAAAGTCTAAGGAACTCAAAGTAATATTACTCTCTGCATTCCAAACAGGATTGAATCCATTACCTGGACATGATCCACTTCTAGTCTCTGTATCTGACAATTTCGTACAATTTTTCATGTAGTGAACTGGATTCATAATCGATTCTTCATCACTAATGAACTTTACAATTACATAAGGTGCAAAATCACTATCACTTGTAGAACTAGGCTCTATCTTTGGGAGTAATTGTCCAGATAATATTTTAATTTTGACTTCTGTAGGTTGAGACAAGTTTTCATCACGCAATTTTTTATACATCGAGATTAATTCATTAACTTTGCCAACCTTTGATCTTAATGATAAAGGTTTTAAGACATACCCTGAATGTGCAATTTCATTCTTCTGATTAGTCAATTGAAACATGGCTAAATTTATTTGCTGTCCTAAATCATTTGTTTGCCAATTAGTAGCCACCATTTGAATACCTAACTTCCAGTAATATATCGGATCGAAATTTGTTGATTTATATCTGAATACATGGGGATAAAGTCGCATAAGATACCTCCTATTATGTTTATCTAGAGATACTTTGAGTGAAATGTCCTTACACATACTATTAACTTTCTTTTCATTTAAAGAAAAACAATGTGAAACCGTTTTTGATTCAGGTAAAGAAAAATTTCTGTATTTTACACCATATATTGCAGATATGTCTATTAAATCTTTAATAACCACGACGCGCCCAGCAATGGTACCAATTCTCTTGATTCTATTGAAATTAGTCGGTTCATTAGGTGACATCTGTTGGATATTATTGATTGGTTTTGATCCCGATATTGAGGATTTACGAGACTTTGTAGTAGTACTGCCCGTAGATGTGTATTCCTCAGAGTCATCATAATGAGAACTTCCAAAAGTAGAGGAGTAATCAAGATTCGAAGAGGAACCAGCCTTTGGGGAACTTTCTGTTGTGAAGATCTGTGCTTCAGCATCATAATGCTTGGGCTTTTTTGATTTTATAATAATCTTATGACGAAGTTCCAACGGTGATGGCAAATCGTCATTATCCTTTACATCGGTATATAAGAAACCTTCGAATATCTTTTCTATTTTCTCCTTGGTGATCTTCTGGTTATTTTTATCACAATGAATTTCTAATGAGATGATTAATGGAAACGGAGATGATATAAATGCGTATTTTCTAATAACTTTCAGAACATTTCCTAAAGGAATAGCTGCTGTCAGTACTCCATGACATACCACCGGGCCACATTCGTCATCCCAAATGTCAATTTCAACACTCCGACAACCCTGTTGTAAGACTTGAATATAAGCCTCCACGGACGGGGTTTCGGCTATTTGTTTCCCGAGTAAATATGTGTTGTGAGACGATGCAATAAAGTAATGATTTAAGGGTTTTGAATAATCAAATGAATTTTCTGCTTCATCTGTCATAAAGGGGACATTTCTTAAATACTGAAGAAAGGCTTCTTCATCCAGTAACAGGGTCTTTGGATTTTTATACTTATCAAAGAGAATCTCACATTCGTTCTCCGTGAGCACGTCCTCCATTTGAACATACCTCAGAAAGTACCAGAAAGTGTCCAGATTCATAGATGTTCGATTTTTAACAAGCTTTTTCCAAATATGATTCACCTCGTTACGTTCTCTGAGTAATTCGACAAAATGTTGGAATTCTTTAAAGTTTAATAATTGGTTGTTGTTAACATCTGCAATATTAAATATTTTCCATAAATGGTCCTTTGAACAGTAAATGTGAAATCGCTTACAAAGTTTTGAAACCTCCATAAATGTCAGAGTATCACTCGACCTATCTTCTTCCCGTTCTGAAACGGTGGTCTCCCAATGAATTTTTGCAAATCGTTCACTGTCAGGAATCGATATACTTTCCATCAATTTTCTCCTTCTAGAAACTAATCCACATATGACATTTAAGAACGCATCAAATCTATCTTTATCCTCTGCGATTACGTGTAATGCTTTTAGTTTATTTGACGCACTGTATATTATTGTTAACCAAAGGTCGGCATAGCTATCTGAGATACCATACTCTTCACGGTAGTTGCTAGCCATTTTCCCAATCCTGACATCTCTTATTGAATCCAATTCTAATATTTTGTTACCTTGTTTCCACATAAGGGAACTACTTTCACTATCTAGTTTGAACAGGTACCATCTTCTTTTATTTCTTGTTATTTTTTCTAAAAACACACCTTCTGATTGTAATTTGCAACATATTTTAGATATATTCTCAGACAATAATGACTTATTATGAAGATTGGCATATTTAAGAATATCTTGTAAAGATGGTTGAGATGTAGCAGGACCTACAACCGTAGTGGCAAGGTCCAGCGAACTATTTAACAAAGCTTGTGACGATTCTTGCACAGGATAAACCAGACCAGCTGTTTTCCTTAACAATAATTTCAGGTTACGCACTATCCTATAATTTGTGTTGAGTCCTATTGTTTGTTTTGATGATGTACCTAGCGATGACGATGATGAGTTTAAATTTAACGAATTTGTCTTTGAGGAGAGTCTCCTTCTAGGGGAGGGCGTCATGATTTCATTGTTAGCTAATACTTTACTATTTGATTGTATATGTTTCTTGCCTGGTGAAGGGCTATTTAATTCCATTTAAGAGATTGTTTCCTATTTTTTCTGATGAATGGACACTAGAATGGGACGATATAAAGATCTTCGATTCATTCGGTTACACAGACTATAGCATTAAGTCAACAGAGAAATATATCAACCTAAACTTGATGTTATTATTCTGTAATGTATATCTACGTCCAGGAAGTCCTTTAATCTTGGAGTGATATGTGACCTTTGAGAATTCCTTAAGTGCAAATATTCAGTGTTTTTATTAAGTAATGATCAATAACTAACCCCACAGAACAAAATTGTCACGCACCGCAATCCGTCGGTGTGCGGATTCATGATGCGCTTCTCATTCTCGATGTTGCCAATAATGGATCGAATAAGCATTAGCTGAAGAGAAGGTTTTGTTGAAACAGTTCGCAACATAGTTAAATCTGTTGCTGTATATGAATATTCATTAAATAATTGGTTACATAAATTAGATAATACATAGTTGTATTATGGTATTACATTGGGGTATATTGTTACAATGATAGTGTCTATTGTTTCGCGGTTATCGTCTGGATAGTGGTGTTAGTAACTGGGACATCAACGTCGGTTGTCTCAATTTTCTCCTTGCTGACGTTTGTAGTGTATGATTATTCCAATCTGGAGACCTCGAGTAATCGAATCTTGGAGGTGTGTGAAATACGCTTGCAGCTGGGGGTAAAGAAATATTTGAATTGTTACGATGATCATTGGATATCCTAACCCGAGGAATCAAACTTCTCTGAGAAGCATAATATCTCAACTTATTTATCTCTATACTTTCCATTTGAGAAGTAGTATACTTAGATTTGTTTACAAGAGGCTCTAGAAAAGTATCTTCAGAAGACTTACTTTTGACACTTTCGCTATTGGAAAGTCCGAGAAACCCTTTTCCCCTTTTCTCTTTCAAACTACCAATAGGTACGTCAATTCTGCTGCTCTCAAGGTCGCTCTCGTAATCGCTGTTATTATCTTCAAGTTGATACATTAGTGGAGGTTCACTAAATTTCTGTGGAGGTTCTAATTTATCGGAAGTAACGTCTTTATAGCCTGACAGCGGTGGAAATTTGTCGTTGCCATGTTTTGTTCCGAGATTCAATACTCTATTCTCAAAGGATGGATATGTAATATCTTCTCTCATAGCAAGCAACTCATCTGTTATCTCTGAAGACACAGTAGTGCCGCTAGTAGTACTGGTTATACTTGGAATGATCAATGGTTTTGTCATTTTCTTCATAGATAGTTGACCAGTTACGAGTGTCTTATCATTCGTATCGTGTCTTTTCAAGTTCGAAGCTAAAGAGAATTGCCTCAAGTTATTAGCTATTGATTCAATGGTCAGATTAGCAGCATCTGGTTCCTCATCCGTGGTAGTATCATCCCTAGAGTTATAACTCGAAATACGAGGAGGTTTGAAGAAGTCCAAATCATGTCTACTAATTTTTTCTCGGTTTGCTTTTGCCCTCTCTCGTATCACATTGAGCGTCTCATTATCAGACAATGACGGTACAGTTTCTAGATACTCATCAGTTACCCCTCTTAGATTAATCCATACTTCAGCCAGATCATTTATTTCGGAGGCGATGTCAGTTTTCAACAATGAAAATTCAAGAGCTTTATAAATCGTGTTAAAAGTTTTCGATATTATTTGTGTATCTCTTTCTAATTTTTGTTTTTGTTTTGAACTGATCTTGTCCGAAAATGTTTGAGATTTTAAATCATTATAGTTCGTTTCAACGGAGCTTATTCTTAATTTTAATTCCCTATTTAAGTTCTCGAAGACGAAATTCCATCTATTATCAATCAGTTCTATTTTCAGAGCACGAACCTCTCTGGTTAAATACTTATAATTCACCATTACTACTTTGTATTTGTTATTCAATATTATGGTTAAATCATCAGTATACTTAAATGTTCTTGAATCAAATATTTCTATCCTTTGAGGTAATATTTCTATTAAACTTTTCTCTATGGGGACTAAAGTCTTTTGTAAATGAAGGAATTTTTGAGAAACATTCACATCTGCCCCAGTAAATGTAGGGAATGTAGGCTCTTCTTCGATGTTTGGTTGACTACTATGCATTCTTCTCCCATTTTTGGATAGCATACGATCATCAGAGGCGTCTCTTGATAGTAAACGAACAATTTTATCTAGAGTGAATAATGGATAGTGCCGTATTGGAGAACCGTTGCGCTCTTCATATATTTCAAATAATTGGTTTAAACTCTCGTTTACTATGTCATCAATGGTTCCTATATGATTATCTAAGATCTCATTAAAGTCTAAATATGTTCCAATTATATCTTTTAATGACTTCATAACAGATTTGTTATTTTTTGTCACTTCATTACATTCTTTGAGTAACTGAGCAATAGTTGTAGGGTCTATTTCTGACGAATTAAGAGTTATTATCGCATCATCTTTATCTATCAAATCTACAATATCACACAAAATAGGCTCTATGCTTTCAAATTGTTCTGCAACCTCAGAAAATATATCTTTCAAAGATGCAACGATAGCCATCTCATTCAGAAAATTTTGGGGGTCCAAGTTCAGGTACGCCGCCAAAATCTTGTTCAAACCATATAATTCATCGTAAAATTTTGTTAAATCATTATAAAAGTCCTCATTCACTCGTTCTGTTTCTCCAAGGCGTATCAATAAACTTGATATTCGTGCAACTGCCGAATCTAAGGTAGCCTTTTCTTCGCCTATCATTTAATTTTAAATAAGGTTACTTTAGTTGTTAATATCTTAGGTATATTATAGTATATAGCAAAATTGAGGTCCTGGTTCACAAACTTCACTTATATTTCTAATCTGGTCCGTTATCTTTAAGTGAAAGGAGATCCAATATCATCATATATTTTGTTTGTTTACTTTTTAAATTTAAGATACCTTCCCCGAATGGTAACGCGAAATGTGTTTTAGATTTGTAAGAGAACTGAAAAAGATACATAGGCAGAAAATCTTAATATGTAATAAATTGAGTCTTTGTTTATATTGAATATCCTCAATACAATGCAGTAAATATAGAATTGGATATATATATAAGTGTGTATGTAATACTTACGCACATCTAATTGTGTGTTGGAATTAGAGGAAGAACCCACTTGCAGTGAGAGAGGTAACAAAGTTGGTTGAATATTTACCTCATAATCTTAATAGGTTTACTTTCTTCTGTCACATCTTTAACTACCTCTTCGATAGCGTTTTCGTCTATGGCATCTATTTGGAGTTTTGCAGAAGCCTCTTGTTCCGTTTCTAAAGTTTGGGAGGAATCGTTATCTGTTTCATCAGGTGTAACGTTTGATTTTGTATTCGTTGCCAAGCTGGCGACATCCGCTTTCTTTTCACTACGGTTCGTTTTTTCATTCAATAACTTTGATAATTCACTACTTGGATCCTCGAATAGTTCTTTAAATTTACCCATTTCTACAACAGATCCGTCATTCCCTAAAACAATGATATTTTCAGATCTTCTGATAGTACTTAGTCTATGAGCAATACTAACAATTGTCATGGATTTTGACTTCATAATTTGACCAAACGTATAGTTAATAGCGCCCTCACTCTCAACATCCAATGCAGAAGTAGCTTCATCTAATATTAAAATATTTGGTTTCTTAATCAATGCTCTTGCTATAGCAATTCTTTGTCTTTGACCACCACTTAATGATGCACCATGAGGCCCAATTACGGTGTCGTATGTATCAGGGAATTTTGTAATAAAATTGTGGCAGAAGCATTGCTTGGCAACAGATCTAATCTCTTCTTTTGTAGGCTTATAGGTTAAACCGTACGTTATATTATCCCTGATTGTCCCCGACATTAAAGTTGGTTCCTGTTGAACAATACCGATCTTACGTCTTAATGATTTTGTATTCATTTCATTCAATCTCTGACCATCGATAATAATATCACCATTTGTTGGATTGTAATAATGCAATAATAATAAAGCGATTGTCGATTTACCTCTACCAGATGGACCAACAATACAAACGTTCGAACCAGCTTCAATTTTGAAGTTTAAGTTCTTAAAGATTTGATTAGCAGGTCTTGTTGGATATGCAAACGAAACATTTTCAAATTCAATTTCACAACCTCCATTCGGTTTTACAGGAACAAATTTACTTCTTCCTATCGTGGATGGTATTTTAACTTCCTTATCTGTTAATTCAAATAATCTAGTAGCTGCACCCGCACCTTGCATTAGTTCTGAATAAAATGTTGATAATCCAAAAACTGCATTACCAGTATATTCTGTGTATAGCATATATGCAGTTAAGTCACCAATAGATAATTGATTACCAAGTACAAGGTATGAGCCATAGCTTAAAACAATCAAAAAACTTAAATCTCCAATCAAACTTGCAGTTGTGAAAAATTTACCATTTATGAAAGCGGCATCCTTACCTACTCTAAATATCTGACGAATTGCACCATTGTATTTGTTTATCTCATTCTTTTCAGCAACAAAACTTTGTATTGTCTTTATTCCATTGAATTGTTCTTCTGACACACGTGTCATATTAGCGGTAGCTTCTTGTAATTGCGTAGAATTTAGTCTTATCTTCCTACCAAAAAATTTTGCTGCGAAAAGAATTGGAGGGGCTAGTAACATCAGAACCCCTGAAAGTTGTGGTGATAATGAGACCATCATACCAATACCAACAGAACCAACAAACAAAGCTTTGATACCATCTGATATCTTTTGCGTTATAGATCTTGAAACAACGTAGGCATCGGAGCCTAGTCTTGATATCAAATCACCTACCTTATAAGTGTCATAAAATTCTGCATCTTGATGTAATACCCTCTTAATGATATTGGATCTTAATCTAGCGACTAATCGTTCACTCAAAATTCTCAATAATATAACACGACCATAATTTGCGGCACAACCAATGATTAAAGCTATGGCTATTCCACCAAAAAATTGTGGCAAAGGTAAAGACATCACTGTTATTTGTTCTTCAGGTGCTGTAGTTCTCAATGCATCTAATACGATACCTATAATCTTAGGGATGGCCATACCGATCGAGCAAGAAACGGTCAGAAGACCTAAAGCTGCAGACAAAAGTTTCCAATCGTTCTTGATTAGAAGTAGTAACCTCCATATATCCTTTGAACCAGATTCTGAAGATGATCTCGTTTCTTTCTTAGATTTTGGTTGTTCTTTGGTTTTATTATTTCGATTGGTTCTCGATGAGTGAAAGAATTTCTTGGAAATTTTTACAAGTTGAATATTATTATTATTATTATTATTATTATTACTATTATTAATAGTGGTATGAGAATTAAATTTATATTGAATAATCGGGGTTTCCCTCTGCAGTATATTAGCATAACTCGAGAAACACTGAACATTTTTTGGGTTCTTAGTAGTTATATTTCTAATACTATTATTATTGGCATTATATTTTGAATGAATGGGATTATTTATAGGACAATTTATACCTGTTGTCTTCGTTCTTACTCCCCAAAATTGTAACTTTATTTCAGGTAGTGATGAAGTATTTCTTATTGGATTGCTGATATTATTTAAACGTCGACATAATGTACCAGTATTCGTATAAATTTTAAACATTTTGATGTTCGAACAAAAATAAAAAATTTAGAGATACTTTCTCTTTTAAAACGAGATGAATATATGTATGTGTGAATTATCCCTTGAGACAGGTTCTAATATAAATATCTGATTTGAATAAAATAGTTTCAAAACGAGGACCCTTATTTCTTGAAATGCAAAATAGAAACGCAAAAAAAAAACACGTAGAGGGTGGAAGGAAGACTATAGAGCGAAATGAATTCTACCTCTTTACCTTAGTTTTACAACAGGATACTATATCTCTAACTGAGTATGCAAGTAAAAAAAAACAAAAAAACGCAATCGTAATAACAAACCTTGTTGTTGATAGTTACTCTATATAAATATTTCTAAATTATCTTAATTCAATATGACAACTGAAATACGTTAGTAATTGTTTCTCTTAAGGAAGAGGTTATGAAGATATTGTTTGTTCAGTATATCCCATCTATCCCATTTGAACAATCCACAGTGCATATTGATATTGAAGGTGCAAACTTCCAGCGCGATATTTTTGGTTTCGGAAAGGGCGAAAATTTCGCCCTTTCTCTCATAGACTTTATGTTTCCCTCACCTACTACTAGAATATATTCACGATCAACGATGGGGGGAGGGGGACACTCTTAGCATTAAGGGCCACAATCATTTCATTGATGTTCAGCAAAGTACAAATGTATATATTGTAAATTAGACATTATGTTGTATATCTATTTATGAGGTATAAAGTGGATAAATATCTTCTTATTGTTGTGAATATTGAATACTTTTTTTATTATTTTAGAAAAGCATGAATGCAAGTATGTACTTATATATAAATCTACGTATAGAGATGTATTCAAATCTTTGCATTATTTCTCTCCTATGATAATCACCTTGCTTGTTTGTTTATATGACGATAATTATTTTGGAATATATATGGGGTTAGTATGGTTTAAAAGGGGGGTAATTGAAAAAAAAATGTGTAAAAGCAAAAAAAAACGAATACTATTCTATTTGCTTAACAATTTTGGGTCAGCTAATGGAGAACCCTTTTCATACTTGGTGAAACATGCATCTGATTGACCACGACTCAACACATTCTGAGTTTGCAATTCGGCCTTCAAAGCACTACGTAGAGTCTTGGCAGCGACAGAAATGTATTGAGTATAAGTAAGACCAGCTTTTCTCCAGGCAGACATGTTTTCTTCTATATGTGTTTGTAGAACTATATTGATTGATAGATAATAATATCTTTAACCGTCAATTTTTCCAAAATATTTTTTTTTCTCGATCCTTTCCCCCTTGTAGTATATATACTATTTCAGTGGTTCTAATCACATTTATATATATATATATTATCTACAGACTGAATAGCAAACTAAATATTTTTTTGCTGTCTTCGTCTTGTTGAAGTCTGCGTAAAGAGCGCGCAGAATTTGTGTTTTTTGCTGCATTGCGCTACGGTTGTTCTTCCATATGATTGGTTGGACCAGGAAAAGGTAGTAGACCATGACGTTTATTAACATATTGCAAAACTACATTTAACGACGGGTCAATTACAGAATGACATGCTATAAAATTAACGAGTATATCATTATTATCAGTAGTGCTTATATCTGTTTTGATAAATTAATAATTTTCTTCCGCACGTGCTATTCACGTGATTTTCAATTCTTTTAGAACTTGGTAGCGCCTTCCCTTCCCTCTGCGGTAGTCGAGGTGAAATTTCTGGTGTTTTTTTGCTTTTTTGGTGAAAAATTTTATGTAAGCGATTAATGAGGTTGTGCCTGGAATTCTCAGGGTCGTTTCATTCACTGGTAAGCAAATGATTTCGAAACATACGTTGTTAAAAACAAGTTATCGATTGTGAAAGAATACGAATTAATATTTAGTTTTACTGATTGAGTTAAAATCACCTTAATAAACGGCTATATAACCAACCATACAAATAATAAGAAAGAATGGCCAAAAAGAAATCTGGGAAGAAGGACAAAGAGGCCAAGAAGGCTCGTGCTGAGCAAAAGAATAAGAAGAATCAAGCTAAGGCTCAATCGAAGGATAAAAAGAAACAATTGAAGATGGGAGATGATGAAGATATGGATGATATGGATATTGAAGAAGTCTTAGCAAATTTTAAGAAACAGCAAGAACAATTTGAACAAATTAATATTGAAAACGTTGATAAACCATCACCTGTTAGACTTAATCCATGTTTAGTGGCTAATCCATTACATAATAAGAAAGAATTGTTGTTATTTGGTGGTGAATCTACAAATTCTATTACAGGTGCAGCAAACTTTCATAACGAATTATATTCTTATACTCCAGATAATAATTCTTGGAAGAAATATACTTCACAAAACTCTCCAATGCCAAGATCTTCTGCTGCAATGGCATCACATCCATCGGGTATTGCATTACTACATGGTGGTGAATTTTCATCTCCAAAGCAATCAACATTTTATCATTATTCAGATACTTGGATTTTAGATACAACAAATAAAGAATGGACAAAGATAGATCAAAAAAATTCTCCAAGTCCTAGATCTGGGCATAGAATTACAACATGGAAGAATTTTTTTATTCTGTATGGTGGATTTAGAGATTTAGGTCATTCAACTTCATATTTAAATGATTTATGGGTATTTGATATTACTAATTATAAATGGAAACAAATTGAATTCCCAAAGAATCATACTTTACCAGATGCTAGATCTGGTCATTCTTTAATTCCAACTCCAGATGGTTGTATTCTTTATGGTGGGTATTGTAAAGTGAAAGCAACAAAAGGTTTACAAAAGGGGAAGATTATTTCAGATTGTTGGTATTTGAAAATGAAACCTGATTTATCTGCTATTAGATGGGAAAGAAGAAGAAAACAAGGTTTTCAACCTTCTCCAAGAGTCGGTTGCTCTATGGCTCATCATAAAGGTAGAGGTATTTTATTCGGTGGTGTTTACGATTTTGAAGAAACTGAAGAAAGTTTGGATTCTATCTTTTATAACGATCTTTTCAATTATAATGTAGAGACTAATAGATGGTATTCATTAAAATTGAGAAAGAGCAATAAATCAAATTCAGGAGCACAAAGAATTAAGTCTTCTAATACAAATATTTCTCAAGAAAAGGAAAAAGAATTACAAGATCTATTAAATAGTATCTTGAAAAAGAATAACTTGAATGATGAAGATGATGATATCACTGTTGATGATTCTGAGTTAGAACAAGAATTGAATAAAATGGATATTGAAGATGAAAATGTTGAAAGACCAAATGAAGTAACTATATCAAATCAATTACCTCATCCAAGATTTAACTCCGCTACTGTTGTTGTTGATGATTCCTTATTCGTATATGGTGGTGTCTGGGAATTGGGCGAAAAAGATTTTTACATCGATTCCTTTTACAGCATTGATTTGAATAAAGTAGACGGTGTTAGTGTTTATTGGGAAAATCTGGAAAATGTTGAAACTGCTAAGAAGTTAGGCCAACATGATTCTGATGATGAAGACGATGATGAAGATGATGAAGATGATGACGAAGATGATGACGAAGAAGAGATCGCAGATACTAAACTGGAGGCTGAAGAAGAAGAGGAAGAGGAAGAGGAAGAGGAAGAACCAGATGAAATGGAAATTCCAGATGAACGTCCTTGGCTACCACATCCAAAACCATTTGAAAACTTGCGTGCATTTTATCTACGTGAAGGTCCAGCATTTTTGGAATGGGCAATCTCTAACAATAGGGATGCTAAGGGTAAGCATTTGAAAAAGAAATCATTTGACTTATGTGAAGATCGTTGGTGGGAAAGAAGAGACCAAGTTCGTATTGAAGAAGACAAATTGGAAGAACTTGGTGTTGGTGGTGATATCATTGAAAAGGATCTATCTAAACCTACTCCTAAGAGAAGGTAGATGCATTAGGTAATCGATTGCATTCTCATTATTCATATATCTTTGATTAATAAATAAAAAAAATCCTTGCATTTATTTATTTAAGGTTTATTTAATTTTAATTACTTATTGTGTCATTATTAATTATCGTTGCAAGATTAGGTATTGATTTATTCTTCGATAAATGATTGGAAGCATTCAACAAAGTTCTCCATGTTATATGAATCGGAGAAATGGATACACAAATTTAGACCACTATCATTACAATAACTGTAACATAGAGACATGTATTCGTTCTTCTTCAAACTCTTTGTGAAACTAGTGTTCTTTAGATTGAATAAGCCTTCACGCTTATTATTTGTTGCGCCAAGAACGATATCTGAAGTGTCACAAATATTAATCACTTTCTCTTGTTCTTTTTCGGATGTAAATTCATCAGTATTTGAATACTTCATACGTCTAATATCATCATCATTAAAACCCGATTTTTCAAATCGTTTCATATTTTCCTCTATAACAGTCTTAACATGATTCGTTACATTCTTCAGTTGAAACTCCAATAATTTTTCCATTTGTTCAGAATCGTCTTCATTCAGAGTTTTCGCATCAGCTTCTTCTTCATCACTTTTCATAAACTTTTCATCATCAATTAATGAAAGTGGGCATTCAACTCTGATTTCTTTGTAGTATAGACCGAAATTTTTAGTAGCTTCCTCTGATTTGTTAACTTGGTCTCTGAGATCTATTTCCATTGAAAACGTTATTGATTTGTCAAAATTTTGTACAAGAGGCTTTAAGCAAAGCATAGTTATACCGCATATTAAACTTCTAAAACATATATTCTCTTGTTCTACGATAGAATGTAGATAATTGAATCTCTCTTTAGAGATGGTGCCAAACACAGTTGTTCCACATAAATTTGTTTCAGACTCCAACTCATTAAGCTCTCCGATGGATTTATATTCTTCGAGATTCTTATAATGTACCTCTTCGTCATTGGAACCAAAAAACGGTAGAACATCTAATGGTTTCTTTACTGTATTGAAAAAAATAGACTTAAAAAATGATTGTGTTTGTAAATTGAAAAGATCAGTAGTCTTTGCTGGTAAGTGTATTTTTGGGTTATCGTATATCGATTTCGGTAATGAAACATCTGTATATATTTCATTTCTGTTGAATATATAATCTAGTTTGTTAAGCTCCACATCTGGTTTATGATTCAATATAACTTGGTTGATTTCTTCCATTAACAATTTATGGAAGTTTGCTCCAGAAAAGGAATCAAAAAGTACATCTTGGCCATGGAAAATTACCAGAGATTCATCTACTATGTATAATTCCCATAGTGGTTGTTGACTACCAGGAGTAAATTTAGAATTATTATAGATATGACGTAATAAATATGGAGGAGCACCGGCATGACAGTTCACTTTTTCATCTTTAAATGATCCAAATTGGACCAATTTTATTATTGAATCAGTCTTAATCTTTTTCAGAAGTTCGAATTCTATATTTTCGTTAATTGTTAGGGCTAATTCGATATTTTTAGAAATTAGTCTTTGTAAGGCGTGTGTTAAAATTGGAAGTGTTAACCTAGAGTCTCTAACTGTGGATAACGTTATGTCATCATCCCAATTTTCATTACAGGATGAATAACTAGCGGCAAATGTTGTGCCGTTTCTCTTATTTTCGATTGATTGAGTTAATAGTCTCTTTTCGAAACTTGATAGTACTCTTAGTGACATTTTTTTTTAATTCTTAAAAGGTTATATTATAAATTTTCGTTTTTTTTTAGGATATTTGTAATTATTGTGAAAGCAAGACCTAAATGTGACATAAAAGAAGAAGGGTATAGATAACCAATTACTAAGATAAATAAACATCAAGTATTTTCATTTTGCTTTTATAGTACAAGATTGGAGTGATACAATCACTTTATAATATCATCTAAAGGAGCTCGTTTATTCAATTCACAATTATAAGCCACAATTACCATATTGCGTATAATTGATATATATTTGTAAACATTATCATTACAAAGTACGTATTTCCCCATAAAAAAAGAATAATTCAATTAGATGATTAAGTTGGAAAAATACTCACTCCTTGTTTTGGCTTTTATTTTTTCATACATGTTCAATAAGTCATTGTCTTAAGAACGACCAAATAGATATATGTATATTTTAAACGAAGATAGCCTGTTCTCTCGCTCTCTCTCTACCACACACATTCACCTCTGCCTTGAACTTCTTTCTTAAAAAAGAGAATTATTGCTTCTACAGCCATGAAACCCCCACTCTTCTAATAGACAGTTCGTTCTTAGAAAAAAAGCTTCTCGATTGGATACCTGTCTCCTGTTCTATACTTGAAGGGTTCCTTAAAGCTAATCTTTTTTTGGTTCTAATCTAAATGTGCCTGAATTACTAACGCAAATCGTATTTTTGTTTTCTTTTTTTGGCTGTCGCGCGTAATATTCTGTGCCAATAAAAGGAGTTTTTGCTTTTTTGACTTTAATTTCCTTTTAAAATTTAAATAAACGACATAGATTCAGGAACGAGATAAACGAGTCAAACGATTGTTTTAGTTTATTAAAAGAAATGAAAGCTTCAAACTTGGAGTTATGTTAAGCCACTTTTGACAACAAAACATTCGTAGTAATACACGGCTGTCACGAAGTATTTTCAATTCTTGTGAAAAAAAATTTAAATACGTATTGCTCTGTTTGTTTGTTTTTCATTTTAATTTAGATATGGCGCCCCCCTGTCCCCCCAAAACAAAAGTGAATAAAATTAAATAATTATACGAGAATGATGAGCTTGTGTTACTTTCTTCCAAGTTTCTCGACAAAATTACCCTTTTATTTCTTTTTTGGTGAGGCTACTACTTAGTTCCTTTCGTAAATCGAATGGTAACAAGGCATCTATTTACTCTAACAAGTAAAGAGAATCAGACAAACAAGAAACGGTAAGGGATCGTACTCTATAGACCATGTCAGTAAATTGATAATTTAATTGGTGACGTTTGCACTGATGTTCGTTCAACATTTTGTTTTTTCTATCTTTAACGAAATGTGGAACTATATATATTTTTACGAAAAATGGATAGCATTGCAACGACCCATCTACTAATATTCCACTAAAGGATGGTCCGTCTTCTTACATATTGAAGACTTGTTTAAGAAAATACTATATATAAGAAGCAGAAATATTTCGTTATAAATTCCAACATTCCTTTTTTACATGTCGGGATTAAATGACAGTGACGATACAGTTTGTTTTGGAAAGATTGTTGTTGTTTCCCTTTCAGTGGTTTTAAAATGTCACACCAAAATGTTATAGAATAGTGGGGAAAGCATTTAGTGGCAATTCCCGTTTTCCCACTTCCCCGAAAATCGCAGAGCCTTTCCGCTCAACGCATTTTCTTTCTCTCAAAAGGTTTTATTACCGTCGGGGGGGGTCGCAATGGCCCACGTTGATTGGTCCCCCTAACCCTTCCTCTTCGCTTTCTACTATTATTATGTGTCTGTTTTCCTAGAATAATGATCATCCACTTAAACTATCGGAAATCGTCAAACTAAATGGAAAGATGATGAGGATGGCGAGAGTTTTATTCCCTTCTTCAGCAATTAACGGGGATTACCGAGTGCGAGTCATCACCAACAAGTGAAGCAACGATACTAATAATCAAGTTTATGGTCCAAGAGGGACTTATACTCATATCCATTGTTGTAGTTTATATATAGGTTCGTGTCTTTCAGGTGAATTTCTATATCCCATCCTTAAACATTTTTTTTTTTTGTAGAAACGTCTTTTATCTTCTTGTTAGTGTTTAATTTCAATTTAGTTTCTTGAGCCATATTCTGAAGCAAGAAACAAGATTTTTGAAATATATATATAAATAGGTATTCTCTTCAATTTATTATATCTTTATTAATCAAGAGTCAAATCTTTCCTTTCTTAAATTAGTGGCTATTAGTTTGTTTTTCTGCTATTAAATCACTATAAATTTCACTTTTTTTTTTGGTTTTTTTTTTGTTGCCCTTCCTTTCTCTCTGGTTGCACCGAATTTCATAAATTTCATAAATTTTATCCTTCAATTATAATATAAGATGCTTAAATTTTCACAATCTACT